CCCCCCCCCGCCGCCGCCCGTTATAAGGAAACCTCCCAGGCCAGTCAGTCACTCACAAACCACCGCACGGGGTCGACAGCCCCTTCCCTGGAGAGACCAGCGCGTGGAGGCGGTGGGCGTGCAGCCACCTGCTCAGGGCGGGGAGGCCGAGGGGCTGAGCCTCTTCCCAGCAGCCGGACCTGGGCTGGGCCTGCTCTCCACTGAGGCCCCCCTGCTCTTTCAGGGCCCGACACACGCCCCCACTTCTCAGCACGCGGCTTCACCTTCACCCCTCTGGGCGTGCTGACGTGGGTCTCTGCGTACCTTCTTTTATATGTAAACTAGAGGCCCAGCGCACGAAATCGTGTGTGCAAGCAGTTTGCTTCCGCTTGCCTCAGCTGGCCACCCACCCATCGCCGTAGCTTGCTGCCCCGCCCTCCGCCGCTCATAGCTCTCGGCTGCTAGTAGCTGTGCCCGCCCCGCCTGCTGCGAGAGCGCTGCCCGTTTGGTTGTGACGGCGTTACGGCGTGACGGCCAGGGGCCTTTTATATAAGAGATATGTGTATATATATTTATTGGTTTCAGAGAGGAAGGGCAAGGGAGAGAGAGAGAAACACCCATGATGAGAGAGGATCATGGATCGGCTGCCTCCTGCACGCCCCCCGCTGGGGATGGAGCCTGCGACCTGGCCTGTGCCCTGACCGGGAATCGAACTCCGGGTTCATAGGCTGATGTTCTCCCAGAGCCACGCCGGCCCGGGGTTGGCCGTCTTTAACTTCTCCAGCGGGAGATGTTGTCCAGAGGGAAGGACAGTCGGGTGTGCACCCCCTTCCTGCTGGGTCTACAAGGAGGTGAGGTGCCTCTGTTCCCAAAGCTCAGCCCGAGGAGACGGATGCGGCCCCGTCTGCCCTGTTCGCCGACTCACTGGTGTGACTGGAGTGCTGTCTGTGGCACAGTCGACAAAGGGGCAGAAAGGGGATGAGACGAATATTCATTTCCCCGTCTAGCCCCCGACTCTGCGTATATCAGCGATCACCGTGATGCCGCCGCCTTCCCATCTCGCGGGTATTTTTGGGCCGTTATCGCTGAGAAGTTATTAAAAAGCCCCCCCCCGCCCCCCGTGTTTCCTTATCACCACGACAGTCCAGACGTTCTGCTCGTGTCCAGTCGGAACCGCGTCTGCTTTATTAACCGCCCTCCGCTGCTGGTGTCTCTGAGGCGGAGAGCAGCGCAGCATCCTGCACACAACACCCTTTATGTCCGTGGAGACAGTAATTTCCTGCGAAAAATTTAGTTGAAAAGTTTCATAAACTTGAAGGGAAGAAAAAAAACAAACAAACCAGGGCTGTGGTTGGTCGATGCTCATGAAAATATTATCCAGAAGCTCTGGACACAACGGCGGTGCCACTGGCCTTTCCGCGTGACCAGTCCGCTTCCGCCCCCTGGCGAGCAGCACGGCGAGCCGTCGTCACGCATTACCTGCCAAGCGTGGGTAATTGTCTTGAAGGCGGACGCATCACAGCAACCCTTCTGGGCGTCTCTTCATGTCTCGGTTCATCTCTTCCACTGTGTTCTGCAATTTTAGTTTACGTTGTCCCAATCCGAGTGATGACTCGTTTCAAATTGATTTGGGGAGGTTGATCCTAAACCCTTGAAGCCTGATTATGGGTGACCGCGGGGCAGACATCCCGTGGGGCACAGAGAGAGGTGTCGTCTCGCAGGGCCGTGCGATTTGGTTTCGGGAGCAGGTTCTAAGCAACGCCTGTGCCCGGCACACGCTTCCGAGGCGTGTTGCTGCCTTCAGTCGTGTAAGGGCGGCAAGTACTGAAGTCGCCGTGACGGCGAACGTCGCTGAAACGGCGAACATCGTGGGCGATTGGGACTGAAGCTGTTTCCGGGCCGGCGGCACGTGCGGGGCGGGCTGCCTCCTCTCTCTTCGTCCGTCCGTCACGCCGAGGGCGCCCCTGCCCTGGACGTCCTGAGTGGAGGGGTCTCTGGGCAGAAAGGCCTGCCCCAGCGCTGCGTGGAGACGAGGGCGTCGGCTGGAAACCCTGTGTGAGACGGGAACCCCGCCCGGTGGGGAGTCTCCCGTGGCCCCTCCGGGTCCCCCTTCCCCACCAGCGGCCGCCTGGCCTATGGGTGAGTGACACGCTTGAAGCCCTGGGCACGGTGCCCGCTCCGAACGCCAGAAGAGACTCGTGACGGCAGCCCCGACGGGGGGTGGGGCGCTCTGCCCCTAACTCAGGTTCCCGCCAGGAAACGGCTCCCGGGAGCCTCAGGCCTCCCGGACGCGGATGGGCAGGTCTGCTTAGGCCTCTGATGGTATGAACATTCAGAGAGGGCTCGGCAGAGGGCAACAGGCTCTTCTCCCCTTCAGGTTCGCTGGGGGGGACGCGGGAAGGCGCCCCTGGCTGTGGGGGCGGCCGCCCTGCCCCTCGGGGTGTCTCTTCCTCACCAGGCGGCCCCTCGTCCTGGCTGTCCTGCCTTCAGCACAACCCAATCACCGCCCGCTCTCGGCGCAGCACCCGGGCTCCCCCGTTTGTATGTGGGCTTACGCATCGGTGTTGATAGTCACACCGGTTCGCGATGGAGCCCAAGAAGCAAGTGACAAACCAGCCCTCGTCACGGGCGACGGTTTCCTCTGTGCTCACCTCCCTTCCCGCGGCTCTCCCCGGGTCCGAGGCCCGTGTTCCACGCAGGGGGCGTGTGAAAGCAGCCAACGGAAGCTCAGTATAAAGAACAGAAAGCGTGGCTCTCAGCAGGCGGGAGAGCCATCGAGCAAGACACTGGGGGTGGGGTGGGGGGGAGTGTCGAGAAGCAAGCACACAAACCGGCCAGAGACCTGGAAACCTGAACGGAGGCCGCGCTCCAAGTCAGACGTGCATCCATGCCCGCCTGTCCTCAGGGATGCTAGGGAAATGGTTGGTGCTGTTGTCATGGCGACAGAGAGCAGCTGGGCCGCAGGGCTCAAGGTCTCTCCGTACGCCCCACGCCAGATCTCTCGTGCGAAAGCCGGTTTTCTGGCCACAGTGGAGGCGACGTGTGCCCAACAGCACCCTGAGCTCCCACACCAGGTCCTTCCAGTTACTCCGACAGACAGAGCGGAGGCAGGAGCAGGCGTGGATGCTCCCACCTCGTGCACCTTATGGACGGGCCCCCCTCCGCCCTCACGGGAGCACCTGTAAGGACACCCGCTCCTGAGAGACAACACGGCATCCGCGTGGGAGCTGTGAGCACGGACAGGTCCCGGCGGCAGCCCGAGCGCCACCGACCCCTCGCCCGGCCAGGCAGGGCCCACCGATCGCACTGGAGACAGGACCCGGAACTTCCCCCACGGGTGGCCGGGCTGTTCCCAGGCCCGTCGCCGGGGTTGGAGGGAACGGGCGTCCACGTGCCCGCCTCTCCCGGCCCAGGCGGCAGGTGGGTTTCCGACTCCGGTAACAACACTGCTCCATGGCTTCTCCATCCATAGGCCGCCCCGTCCACCTGCTTCTGGCTCCCACGAGGGGCACTAGGGCTCCCGCCCTCCTCCCGTCCGCCCTCCTCCCGGCCGCCCTCGTCGGTCTCTGTCAGTGCATCCCCTTCCTCTCCCCCGTGGGTGTAGCCCAGACCCGAGTGTCTCCCCAGCATCACCCAGACCACCCAACGGGTCCCCACCCACTGCTCCTCCAGACGTCGAAGTCACCTTTCTCAGACACAGATCAAACTGCCACCTCTCGTAACATCTTTCAGAGAGTCTCTCCTTTTTAAGAAATCACCTGTTTTTCAGTTTTAGAATAAAAGTTGTGTATATTTAAGGTGTAGGGTTGGGAGTGGAGCCGAGGTCGTGCGGGTGGGCCTCGTCCAATCAGGTGAAGGCCTAACTAGAGCAAAAGGCTGACCTCCCCTAGCAGGAGGGAATTCTGCTTCACCCCGAGATCACCAACTTCAATGCCCATCTCACCCACAACCTCCCTCAGAGAAACATCTAGAACCAACTTGGTCAAGTAACCCGGGCACGGTGGCTCGGCCACGTGACACGGAGCACGCACTACCCCGATGTAGAACACGGAGCCACGAGACACGGAGCATGCGCTACCCCGATGTAGAACACGGAGCACTGTACAGCTTCGTAGACACGGGACGTGCTCACTAACCGGACGCTGGGCTGGTCCTACGACTTCCTGCCTGCAGGAGCCACGAGCGTGTGAGCCGGGGCCCGGGGCGTGGTCTCTCTCGAGGACTTGGGTTCCTCTTCCCTCTAGTCTGTCTCTGCCAGCCACCCACGCCAAGTTCAACTACGTGTCCTACAAACAACACGGATGAGAAAGCCTTCTTAGTGCAGAGCCGGCAGCAGGCACAGAGCACGGGATGTGTGTGAGGACAAGCCGGCGTGAACTCAGGGAGACGGGGCGAGCTCGGCCCTGCAGCTCCCTCAGCCGTTCCCGAGGGGACGGAAGCCCTGCGCCCCCCTTTCTCAGGGGAGCGTGTGCGGTGGGAACCACGGCCCTCTTTAGTCTGGATGAGGGGATCGCTGCCCGCCGTCGGCGCACCGAAGAGGATGTGGGCACCTGTGCTTGCGCATCTCCTTGTAAAATTCCCGAAGGGCCGATGAGCCCCGAGCCCAGCGGTCCCTCACGCCGAGGGAGGGCGCACAGTGGACGGGCATCCACACGCCCGGGCACATTTCTTTGCTGGAGAACTAGGGCTCATTGCTCATCCGGAACCCAGTCCGAGAGGTGAGATGGCCCCGCCAGAGTGCGTGTGGCCGAGACCATCGCTGGCCTGTTAGGTCTCAGCACACACCCTGGGGGCGGGGGGGCGGGGAGCCCCGGGAATCACCCAGAACGGCTCCAGCTCAGCATCTCCACGGCGCGCGGCAAAGGAGGCAGCAGAGGACCAGGTGCATACAGAGGCCGGATGACATTTTATTGGATAGTTTGCGATCACATAGATCTGTGCCACATGCTCGTTCCTAGAACTCGCAGCATCCAACATTGATTTTTCGAGTCCTCGCGTTTGTCACAGAAACACGCCACGTGTCCTTCCTAGAGACTTCCTACGTACGAATCCCATGAAAAAGGCTGCGACTCAGATCCACGCGTCCTACGCTGCTGCTGGCTGATTATGAAAATAGATGCAAAAATAGAGAAATGCAAAAATACGGCTTGGCAATGCCAGAAAAATAGATCTTTTTCTTTGATTCCATGACTTCTGAGATTCAATATGAACACTGGTGAGCAGCTGCTCCCTGAACACAGATCGCCAACCGCTCCTCCCTCCTGACACCGAGCCCAGACCGCCGCCCTGTCAGCTGGGTGCCGGCAACGCTCAGTGTTCTAAGGAAGGTGATCGTGACACCGGGCGGAGCGGGTGTCGCCAGAGCGCCACCCCAACACTGTATTTTGCTGGGATGTAGTTTAAGTATTTAAACAAGAAAGTCCCGGGGATTCACTGACTGTCTCAGGCCTGAGCGTGAACTGTTACAATCCTCCCGCCTTCCGGCCGAGCCCCCGGGGGAGCGATTCCCGCAGGGGGGCCTTTGCACAGTTGTGCAAACCGCCTTTCGCGGTGTTTTCCTGCCACGGTAAAGAATTTATTGACTTTCTTCATCTGTGCTTCCTGGAGCTAATTATGTGTGCTTAGACACAGTGTTAAAATTAAGTGCAATTTTTTAATTATAAAATGTTTCCTTGGAAACTTCTTATGTGTTAAATCATACTTTGTCCTAAAATCCTTAATTTCACCCACAAGTAGCCGTCACGGAGCACAGCCCAGGGCAGTTTGGAAACGGTCGCAACATTGCCACCAAACACACATATTTTGCACCATGAATGGCTGTGGGGTGATCACCCAATTGACCGCTACCCTGTGATTTAGCAACTGTCCTCAGAGGAGAATTACTCGGTTAGTATCATTCATCAAATGGCGCCTGGTAGCAGGCTTTTTTTTAAATATATATATAATATATAATTTAGAAATTGATTCAGAGATGCAATGCTTATCTAGAAATTATGTATCTGTTTTCCTGTTGAAAGGGCTGGACCGGACCACCGCACAGAGAGATCAGCAGGCGGGGTGGCCTCGGAGGCCACAGATGGCCCCGCGATCACCTTAGCACACGGGCTGCACGGCCAGGGGCAGGCCTCGCTTTGGCACGTAAGGGGTTGTCCTGGCAACCATGCGGATGCAGTCGACGATGGGGCAGACGCTGAGGCACAGGGTACAGCCTGTGCAGGCGTCCCCCACGCTGGGCAGGTGGGTCTCGGGGTCAAACTGGATGGCCTGCGAACAGAAAGAGAGACCGTGGCTGACACTGCCCCCCTCCCCCCCAGGTGAGGGACGCCCCTCCCTCCCGGGCCCACAGGCTCTCCGCCCTGCAGCCAGCTAAGCCCAGGCTGGTGCAGCCATGGCAACAGTTGCACTGCCCGCGAGGAGGGGAGAGGAGGGAGAAAGGCACAGAAAAGAAAGCCTTTCACGTTAGAGACGGAATGTTCAACCTTCCTGAGAGGGTCCTGCTTGTGTCATGTGGCAACACGGGTGCTCCGTCCTGTGTGGGAGCAGGGCTCAGCCTTCCTGCCGTCCGGCCCCGCGGACGGTCCGCTGCCCGGGGAGGCGGAGGCACGGTTTGGATTCTGACTTTCGGGTGCAGTTTTTACAAGAAAACAGGAGGGAAAGAGCGAGCTAAGGAGCCGGGTCGGAGGTTTGGGGATCCCCCGGCAGATGGTAGGCTCTGCCCGATCCCGCAGGGGAGGAAGCACTGAGGGCCACCTGGCTGCCAGGCACCCCCTCCCCCCGTCACTGTCCAGCTGGGAACTGGGTCAGGACTTGGGGAAATTTGATAACTTCTAAAAATTTTTATTGATTTCAGAGAGGAAGGGAGAGGAAGAGAGAAACATCCATGAAGAGAGAGAATCATGGATGGGCTGCCTCCTGCACGCCCCACACTGGGGATCCGGCTCATGACCCGGGCCTGTGCCCTGACCGGGAATCGAGCCGTGACCTCCTGGTTCACAGGTCGATGCTCAGCGCCGAGCCCCGTGGCCGGGCGGGGCAGCCTCACCTGGTAGCCGGAGTCGTTGCAGGTCATGTAGCACTTGCCGCAGTTGATGCACATGTCCTCGTCGATCAGGGCCACCACCTGCTCCTCGATGCTCAGGTCCCCGAAGGTGCCCAGGTACTGCAGGGTCCTCCCGATGACATCCTGCAAGGTGGACACGGAGTCACCACCGCGCCCGCGGGAAACGTCACCGAGTCACGGGCGTCAGTCCACACACCCTCTGAAACCCGCACTGTCTCCTGCAGGGAGTGCAGGCGTCCTTGCCACCATGCGGATGCCCGCCTGCCGGTGGCCCCAGGCGTCCAGGTCGGTATCTCCATCCCCAGCTGCCCTCCCCGTCCCAGGGGCACCCTCAGCAGCACCCTGAGGGCCTTCCCACAAATGGGACCCTCGGTCTCATCAATCACTCAACGTGGCGTCGATGCCAAGAAACAGGGGTTCTGACCTCCCCGCCCTGGGGAGCAGGGCGAGGCCGCTCCCAGCACCAAGCCCTGGATGTTGGAGTATTAGTAGCGTTGCATCCGCTTCTCCCTCCTCTATCTCCTGGGCTGTGGCTGTGCGTGTCTGAGTCCTGCACCTGCCACAACTGCGGAAGCGTCCTCCCAGGAGCGGGGCGATCGGCCCTCCCCCTCGGCCCCTCCTGTGAGGCGGCAGAGAGCGATCGAGGGCCCAGGGTGGAGCCCAGCTTTGCAATGAGACCCTGGCCTGGACACTTTCATGGCTGTGTGACCTTGGGCAAGTGACCGAACCTCTCTGTGCGTCCATTACTCATCAGTGAACGAGGAACAATACAGGCACCTGATACCGATGGGGTTGCTGTGAGGATACACGAGCTCACGCACAGGCTCGGGGACAGGGCCTGAAGCCTCCTAAGGACTCAGTAACTACTCGCTCTTAGCACTAACCTCTGCTTAATGAGCACCATGTATTAAACTCCGCGTTAGATATCGCGTCTCCGTGGAGCTTCCACCTGAGCCGCGCAGAGCTCCTCGCCCCGCTCCCGGTTCCCGGAGTGTTTCGTGCGCACATGATTGGACTGTGAGTACCTCCTAACACGCCTTCCTCCCTTGTCAGACTGCACAGCCCAGCAGGAGAGTCCTTTCTTTTTAAAATTCACGCTGTACTCCCAGCTCCTCGTGCCACACTGTGTGTGCGTAACACGTGTAAGCTGGTGCCCGTGTGGCTCAGCATTGAGTCTCGACCTCTGAACCAGGAGGTCACGGTTCGATTCCTGGTTAGGGCACAGGCCAGGTTGTGGGCTCGATCCCCAGTGTGGGGCGTGCAGGAGGCAGCTGATCAGTGCCTCTCTCTCATCGATGTTTTCACCTCTCTACCCCCTCCCTTCGTCTCTCTCTAAAAAAATCAATAAAAAGGGATAAAAAAAAATGCGAGAGGCCTGGGGAGGGACTGGTGGGTGGGATGAGGAAGAGGATGGAATTGGGGCCGAGTTTCAGCTCCTGGCTCAGGAAGGAGGGCGGGTGGGGGCTCCCCATGGAGACACAGGACTGGGGGGAGAAGGGGTTCGGGAGGAACGACAAGCAGCTTTGTTTAGGTCCCACGACCCGTGGGCTTCGTGCGGGCCCCGCAGGTGAGGTGACACATTGGAACAGTAATAAACATGGAAGGACACTGCACACTGACACAGACAGACCTGTGTGCTGTGGCTCCTTACCTTGATGGCGGGAACGGGCTTTGTGGGCGCGAAGCGCTGTCTCTGGAGGGGCTGACAAGCTTCGTCCTCTCCTTTCGGCTTCAGCTTGCTCTCCGCTATGATCTTCTTGCGTTGCTCCAGGTAAGGCCCAAAGCTTGGCAGTTTCTATAAGGAAAACACACACACACATACATGAGAAAGCACGTGAGCCCGTGGAAGAGAGCGGTGCGAGGACGTGAACACGGACGTCACCAACACGCCGCGGTGGGGCTGAGACCGTCCCGCGTGCACCGTGCAAGGCCCTCATGCCTGGACCAGGAGCTTCTGGCCCCCGATTCTGCTCATTATTCAAAAGAACCCAAGGGCTCCGTCCTCCTACCGAGCACGTGTATCTCAGACACACACACACACACACACACATACACACACACACACGTTCGTGTATCTCACACACACACACGTTCGTGTATCTCACACACACACACACACACACGTTCGTGTATCTCAGACACACACACACGCACACACACGTTCGTGTATCTCAGACACACACACACGTTCGTGTATCTCAGACACACACACACACACACACGTTCGTGTATCTCAGACACACACACACACACACACACACACGCACGTTCGTTAACACACATTCCTCCATGGAATGGGGTTCCCAATGGGGACGATGCACCCACGTAAAACCCTCGCTGCTGAGGAGACGTGCGTGTAGGGTGCCCAGGCAGGAGGTGGAACTGCTGACGCCTTTTCCCTCTTCATCCCGCACCCTCTCCCCCCATTTTGATTATTCTTTATCCAAAGGGAGAGAAATAAAGCAGCTGAATGGAAACCACGATGACTTCGAGCGGCCCCAGGGATGGGATAATATTAACAACACGGCCTCTCTTGGTTCTGAACAGAACATCGCCTCTGTGAGGACCCCTGGCTGATGCTGTCGGCCACACTGGCCGGGTCTGCATTTCACAGCCTCTCCATGGCTCAGAGTTACGTGCTCGTTTTTAAAAAATCTTTTTTAATTGATTTCAGAGAGTAAGGGAGAGGGAGACAGAGAGAGAGAGAGACATCAATGATGAGAGAGAATCATGGATCAGCTGCCTCCTGCATGCCCCACACTGGGGATGGAGCCCGCAACCCAGGCATATGCAAAAACATTCCTTCCTCTCTCTCTAAAAATCAATAAGACTATTTACAAAAAAGAATGTTTCTCACCTAATAACTGACTTGTTTGGGGAACACCCCCTCCACACACAACATATTTGCATATGACTTAGTTACATTGTTTATCTTTTGCCATCTATTCACCAAACTAGAGGCCCAGTACACAAAATCATGCATGGGTAGGGTCCCTAGTGGCTGCCAGCTGCCGGCCAGGGCCTTCCTTTGTTCTGCGCTGCCCCCTGGTGGTCAGCACACGTCATAGTGAGTGATCGAACTCCCAAGGGGACACTTTGCATATTAGGCACACACACACACACACACATACATACTAGAGGCCTGGTGCACGAAATTCATGCACGGGGGGGGGGGGGTTGTCCCTCAGCCCGGCCTGCACCCTCTCCAATCCGGGACCCCTCAGGGGATGTCTGACTGCTGGTTTAGTCGAACATCCCTCTTGCAATCTGGGACTGCTGGCTCCTAACCGCTCACTTGCCTGCCTGCCTGATCACCCCTAACCACTCTGCCTGCCTGCCTGATTGCCCACAACTGCCCTCCCCTGCTGGCCATCTTTGACCACATCGGGGCGGCCATCTTCTGTGAGGGTGTGATGGTCAATTTGCATATCTCTTTATTATATAGGATATATACTAGAGGCCCAGCACAAGATTGTGTGGCCCCGCCCACCTGGGCTCACCTCACCGCACCCAACCACCCGCCACCCCACCTGCCAGCCTTGCTGCAACCGGAGCCTGTGGGCTGCGGGGGAGGGACTGAGAGATGCTCCATGCACCTCATGGTGACCAGTCGTTTGGTTGTTTTGGCTGTGACACCTCTGGCCTTTTGTTATTATGATATGCATACATATATATGCATTTATATTTCTATTAACTACAGAAATGTGATAAATTCTGTGTGTGTATAAATGAATAAATAAATATGTGTAAATATATGTGTGTATTTAAATATGTTCTTACTGATTTCAGAGAGGAAGGGAGAAGGAGAGAGAGAAACATTAATGATGCAAGGGAATCATGGATCAGCTGCCTCCTGCACGCCCTCTACTGGGGATCGAGCCCACAACCCGGGCATGTGCCCTGACCGAGAATCTAACCCTGACCTCCTGGTTCATAGGTTGACGCTCAACCACTGAGCCATGCCCGCTGGGCAATTAAATTATATTTTGGTCTAAGAAGAGTGTGGCTATTGTAGAGACTAGTGGATGGTCCTTTTGTGGCTTCTTTTTTATGCCATTGACTAACTTTTTAGTCCTCAATTGTGCTGACTAGTAAAGTAAATAGAATGCTACCTACGTCGCCGATATTTTTCTTCAATTCTGGGCTGTAGTTAGAGCAGACGACGCTCTATGATCTTCAAAGTAAAGGTGGACGTACCATGGGGCCAGGGACTAGCGAGACGTGGTCCTGACACATCATTTAAGTTTTAAAGGTAAAAACCTCAGCTCCCAGCTGATGAAATGCTGACTAATCTTTTTTTAATGCTAAGAATAACACTGCAGGTCCCCATCGGAGTTCTGAAAACTTGGTATTTTTAGAGATCAGCGACATGTTTGCTTCCCCGACCAGTCAGTGGTGAGATACACACACACAGAGTTTACCATGCTTCTGTAGTTAAAATTTATTTTTCTAATAAATTCTGCTTTAACATTAAGGCTGGGGTTTGGCGAGTTCATCGCCACTAGGCCCTTTATTATTTTCTGAAATTGGTACCATCAAGTGAATTTAAGGAAACCAGTAAAAAATTTAACTGAATAGGCTTTGAAATATCGTACCTTCCACAGCCCAGAGGACTCTCTTACGTCCTAAATCCGATAAACAAAGCAAATCTATGAAGAAAAATATATATGCTTCTTGACATCACATTTATATACCGGCTTATTTATGAAATTCTTCTTTATTGGCCCTTTCGAATGTAAGAAAATCAACTATCCAGAGGCCCTAAAATGGATCAGAGCATTTATTAACTGAGGAAATGTACATGAATGCATAGCAACAATTACTCTGGTGGTTTTTTATTCCTTCATTCATCTTCGCCTACTTTTCCTAGCTCAGTTTCCATCGAATCTGTAGGAGATTTTAAAAAACAGCCTCATGACCCCATCCTAAGTGTCCAATTTCCAAGGGGTCACGAACCCGTTTCTCATCGGCTAGGAGCTTTCAAAGGCGCTTTCAGTGTCCACGACCACGTCCCAGCCTGGATGAAGGACGTGAGCGAGGTAGGGGATACACGACCACACGTGGACGCAGTGTGCGTAGTCCCGTGGACCCTCTGCGGGGCGTGGGCTGCACGCTGCAGGTGGCCTGGCTGACCCTGTCCCTCAGGGAGTGTGGCATTGGAAACTGGGACAGATGGCCCGTCAGTAATAAGGAACTTGTTTTTTTTTTTAAAATGTTTTCATTGATTTCAGAGAGGAAGGGAGACGGAGAGAGAGGTAGAAACATCAATGAGAGAGAAACATCATCAATCGGCTGCCTCCTGCATGCCCCACACTAGGGATCGAGCCTGCAGCGTAGGCATGTGCCCTGACCGGGAACAGAACCAGTGGCCTCTTGGTTCCAGGGTCAATGTTCAACCACTGGCCACTCCGGTCGGGAAGACCGCATTCATTTCGTTCTTTCACATTTTACTCCTCGGATGGGCTGGGTTTTAGGGTGACAAGGCGTTAAGCATTTTTGTTGACCATGTATTTGTACACAGGAGCTGCTCAGAGAGGTGTGAGTGATGCTGGTGGAGAATGAGTTAGTTGGGGCCTCTCTGGGGGAGTCACTGGGGCGGCGGCTGCTGACCAAGGCGATGCGCTCCCCGGGGGTTAGGGAAGAGCCGGTCGGCCTCGGGGCGCCACTTGGCGATCAGGAGGCAGCGACCAGCCCTCGCTCATGCGGTCCGGAGGCTGACGTGGTTAGGTGCACCCCCCACTCACAACCGAGGCTGCAGTCACCCAATAAAGCCCACGGGACCCCACACTGACGCTTGTCAGGAAGAAATCGGCCTCCATGGCATATTTCTTCTTAAACTCTGTGGATTCACAAATATTATTCAAAGTGTAATTTCCCCAGAGGGCTCCACGTGGGAACCCTGGAATGCTGGCGTCCCCGTCCTGGCGTGAGCCAGCCTGGGGCTCGGTGCCCACCCTCCCCCTCTGTCCTGATCTCCTGATCACAGCATGGGATTCTTAGGGAGCCACAGATTACATTTTATTCTTCTGAGAAACAGGTCATAAAAGTAAAGATATTCTCAAGGTAGTTTCACAAGATGAACCTTCCAAAGAAAAACCAAAACACTATGAAAACCCTACTGACGTCACTTCCAAGTAATGAAACAGTGCCCAACCCAACGACTTGGTTTTTACTCATGGATTTAAAAAAAAATCTCAGGCTTCCGGTATTTAAGATTCTCTCCCTCTGACTTAAATTGAACCAACTGAGACATCTTTGGTCTTAATGTTATTCCCACCACAGCTGACACCCAAAGCTTCTGAAAACGGAAGTCACAACAACCCCTCTGTGTAAGGCCGCTTCCTCTCGGCCGCCGTGGACATTCCAATCCGCGGCACTTGGGCAAAGAGGACATCCTTAGGCAGTGAGTGAAGGCTGCCTTCCCGTGCTAGCCACAGAGTGTCCCCCAGTAAGCTCCGGCCTGTCCCTCTAATGAGTGTCTTATCTCAGTCACAGGCTTTCCTTTCATGACAACCGCCAATCCTGCCGTAATCCTCTATCAAACCCCAACAGGTATTGTCACAAGATAAATGTCCAATAAAGAAGCGTCTCAGGCATGGCCGGTGTGGCTCAGTGTTTGAGCATCGACCTATGAACCAGGAGGTCAGGGTTCGATTCCCGGTCAGGGCACAGGCCCGGGTTGTAGGCTCGATCCCCAGTGTGGGGCCTGCAGGAGGCAGCCGATCCATGATTCTCTCATCATTGATGTTTCTGTCTCTCCCTCTCTTTCTTCCTCTCCCTCTCCCTTACTTTCTG